CCCCCCCAATAAAAAAAAAATAAAAAAAGAAGTATTTTACACAATTGTTTTTAAAGGAAAACGCGAAGTGCATGAAAGAAAAGACAAACAAGAGCTGTCTTCTTACACGACATTTCTGTGCCAGGAGGAAGTTAAATTTCCAACTTATTGCGGGGAAGTGGGTCAAGGTTTGATATGCGCCCCCCCACCCCACCCCTTTTGTTTGGAAGGTACTCCTGGCTGTCGTGTCATCATTTTACGTCCTTCGTATCTTCTAATAAGTCAACAAGGGTAAAAGAGGCAAACGTTTATTTTAGGAGCTTGGAAACGTAAGGGATTTGGGCATCGTGTTTACAATTCTAGACTCACTTATAAGGAGCCTGTGTCTCTCTAGTGTTGTGTGGGTTCAACGCCATATCTAACACAGTTAGAGGAGAGCCGTATGAATTTAATGTTTATCTCTGATAGGACCAAGCCAGGTAAGGGGCAGCCTTCAAAATCTGCATCGACTCAAGTTTTAAAAGAACTCCAAACGTTCGGATTAGAACCACTGTCATCTACTCAATAGTTCAGCAGTAGTCCACCTACTGCGTAAAGGCGTGTCCATGATTCGGAACGATATATTTTGTTTCTCTGAAATGTTCCATCTTTGAAACGACTTAGCAAAAGTAGCAAAGTTAAATAATAAAAGGAAAACAAAATACAGCCAAACCTTTACTAACTGCCGCCTTTATTAGACAATTACCTGTGCAAACGACAACTTTCCGTCAATCTCTCGAGTTTTAAATTTACTTTATGCTGACTTTGTGGTAGACACCCACCTGTCTAAGACAATTACCACCTTTTACTCGACAATTTGTGGCCGCCTTAGAAAACGTCGACTGCAAACGTTGTTTTTTTCGACGCCCACGTCTTGCTTTCCACTAGGTAAAACTGAGATCCGACCAGACGCCGATTTCTTCCACCTGAGCCACAGCCTCAACACCCGTGATCTACGTCACAACGACCCGTATGTGGCCAGCACCAAGGAGGGACTTCCGGCCAGAATGCAGTACAAACCGGCAAAGGGCGGCAACCCATTCAGCACGTCGGTTATGAAGGACGATTACTCGGACTTGAACAGACGATCGTGAGTTTTGGTTTTCTGTCTTCAACTGCCTTATAAATTCTCTCTCTCTCTCTCTCTCT